AGGAAAATGTCATGTCTCACTTACCCCAGATAGCTATGAAAATGTTAGTAAAAACGCTGAATATATGTGGGGATCGATTTGATGAATGGCCTCCCGCATCTATGGAATTTCAGATTTCCTTCGGGACAGGGAGTTGGGATGGTCTTATTCTTCTTCTTATTTTTTTAATGTGCAAATCGCTTTGATATTCTTAAATTAAAGTAAATTAATACCTATTAAAAAAATTGAAGTAAATTTGCACCTAAAATAAGTAGGTTCAAATTTAACAATTGAATTCAACTTTATGTTAAACTTTAAGGATAATAATTTAATAAAAAATAATTATGTTAACATTAACCATTAAATTTGAACTAAGTTTTTTAAAATGAATTTTTAATATGATGACTTGCTTTATTTCTTTTCCAAAATATTAAGAGAGCAATTTGGTGAGAGGGGGAAGGGGGGGGGGGAGGTGAGGAGCATCAGGGAGTTGGGTGGTTTTGTTTGAGACATTTGTAACCTAGTTTAGCAAAAATGTAGATGGAAGATAATAAATTTTTATTTAGGGGAGGATGGAATTTGTCAGCATCCCTAACATTTTAAGACAAATTAAGACTTCCATTGCCTATTTTCAAAAAAAAAAAAGAAGACAAATTAAGACAGGAGGAAGAAGAGGAAGGTGGTGTGTCGTGAATACGAGGTCCAATTTCTGACTCAGATCCGACGAGGATCCAACCCACAATACTTTTGGGGCCCTTCTTCAACACCAGATAATGGCCCACCACACAGAAAAAGAAAAAAAAAAAAAAAGAGAGAGAAAGGCATATTTACAATCATGCATGACCATGGCATGACATATTCATTGGTGATGATGTTGAGTCATGACCATCATGGATGGTGACATGATGGAATTTGAATATCGTTCGGATTTGGCATCTTTTTATGTAGGGAATGGTCACAAAAGCATGTGCCTTTGTTTTTTTTTTTAAGAAAACAATATAGTTGCATTTTTATTCAAAAAAAAAAAAAAAAAAAAAGCGGTTAGAAGTTACTGGCCACTACCGGATAAGAACAAGACATTGTGGGTCCCACTACACGTCAACCACGCACTGGCGTTCGGTTTGAGTTTGAAATTTGCGTCTGAGTTTGCTGTTCTATTATTATTATTATTATTATTATTAAAGTTCATAACTTGTATTTTAAAAAATATATGTTAACAAGTATTAATTATATTTTTTATGATTAATTTATATATTAAAATAAAAATTAATTTTAAATTTATTAATTACCTCATTAAAATAATTTAAGTGATCTTGAAATAAAAATAATATGTTATTTTTATATTTTTTATAAAAATTTATTACAAAATAATACATTTAATACATTCTAATTATACATGATATGGGTTGGATAAATATTTATTATTATTATTATTATTAAAATATAAACTTTTTATACTTATTTTGTATCCTAAAATATGAAGTAATAGTTTATAATTATAATTTAAGTGCGAAATTGTGTACGAAATTGATGCATATTTATCTTTTATTATTGCATTATATTATATAAAACATGATAAAGAAATCATAAAAATATAGTTTAACTGATACTAAATAACGTTAAAATTTTGATTTAAAGTCAAAATTTAAATTCAAACTTTTATAACACTTAACTTTCCAATTTTTTTTTAAAAGGAATTGTAACATTGTGGTTGTTTTTATTTTGAGCTTTTCTTCATTTCTACATCTCTCTCGATCCTTCGTTTTCCCTTGGGTTCTTCCATCCCCCAACTTTAAAAAAAAAAAAAAAAAAAAAATTTGGCCTGGCTTGGATTCTTTCTTCCTTCCTCCGCTAATTTTGAGTGCTAAAATTTCAAACTACAAATTGACACCTGAGATATATTTATTAGTGCCATTTTCTGGACTTTCTATTCATCTAAAACTTCAATTATAATCTTGATTCCTCAGTCGTGTTTGAATTCTTTTCTATGAAATATCCTTGACAAAGAAATTGCCTTGTTCAAAACTCTCGTTCCACCTTCTCGAAAGTTTTACTTTGTATTTTGTAGGTACCCCTTGCTTTCACAAATCAGAATGTATTAGTTGATCTTCCCTATAGAATTTGGCAAGGCTAGGCTTTCATTATTTTATTAAATTAAAAAGGAAAATAATTTATACATCTTTTAATTTAATAAGTTTTAAATATTTTTTTGATTTAATTATTAAAATATAATATAAATATAACTAATTCAACAAATTGTTACATATTATATGTATAATTATATTTTTAAATTTATTTATTTTTAACTTTAAATAAATAATAATAATAATTTTGTTAATGAGCATGTTGAATAAAAAAGTGTACCAATTTATATCCAATTAGAAAATAAGTCCATAGTTGAAAACTAAGACCAAATAAAGTAAATTTATATATTTATTTATATTACCTTTAAAAAAGAAACAAAAGGCAAACAAGGAGTTTTTCTGATATGATTATTATTCAAGTAAATATATAATAATGGAGTTAAAATATAAAAAAAATATTATATTTACCTTAAAAAACAAAAAAAAAATGACAATTCATTTGAGTAAATTCAAAATTAAAAAATGACAATTATTTTGAAACTAACTATTACTTCAACTTTAAGAAAGAGAAGTGATAATAATCACAAAATCTAAATTAATAAAAATTTAGTTTAACCAATACTTACTAAAGTAAAAATATTAATATTTAAAATTAAAATTTAAACCTCTATTGCACTTAACTCTCAAAGTATTAAAATAAATGAACTTGTAATATTGTGGGGTTTTTTTTTTTTTTTTTTGGTTTGTTTGTTTAGAGCTTTCCTTCATTCCTACATCTCTTTCCTTCGTTTTTCTCTTCTTGGGTTCTCAATTCTTTTTTTTTATTTTTTTGGCTAGCTTGGGTTCTTCCTTCCTTCCTCCTCCTCCTCCCATTTGAAAGCTTAAATTTCAAATCAACAAATTGACACCTGACGTTTTTTATACGTGCCATTTTCTTGACCTTGTATTTACCTAAAACTTCAACTATAATTTGAAATCCTCAGCCATGTGGCTGAATTCTTCTTTAACGAAATATCCTTGACAAAGAAATTGTCTTGTTCAGAAGCCCAGTAATTCTCGACTGTTCCACCTTTTGCCAAATTTTAATAGTTAAATCCTCCATTTGGACCCTCAACTATTATATAAACTTTTGATTTGATTCCTAAACTAAAAAAATCCTTGATTTGAATTTTATTATTTACTAATTTAACCCCAAGTTAATCCTTCTATTAAAACACAGCTAACGTACCAATTACTTAATGGAAAAAAATTGTTACTTAATGGGAAAAAATTATAACTTAAAAGTCACGTGTCACGTTAATAACAAAATATATTAACTGTTTTTGTATGAAATGACCAAGTTGAGGCCAAATCGATAAACAATATGAACTAAATAAAGGATTTTTTTAGTTCAGGGATCAAATTAGAGATCCATATAATAGTTCATGAATCAAATTGGGGGTTTAACCTTAATTTGTATTTTATACCTACTTGTTTTCAACACATTAGAATGTATAAATTGATCTTCTCTATAGAATTTTGTTTTCTTTGGGGCAAAACAAGGCTCTCATTACTTCATTAAACTAGAAAATGAGTCCATACAAGTAGCTGGAAGCCAAGTCCAAATAAAACAAGATAGTACAATCCAAACCTAAAGGTTTAAAGACCTTTTTGGTCTCTTAATTTTGTGCTTTTGTACTAAAATAGTCTCTTAACTTTTTAATATTTTTTAAGTCCCCCGGCTCTCAAATTTTAAAATCAGTTCCAAAATACTCTCTTTACATTTTTTAGTACTCTATTTGGTCTCTTAATTTTGTACTTGCATATTACTATTTTTATCTCAAAATAATTATCATTTTTAAAATTTTTTCTTTAAATTAAAAATTTGAGAATAATTTATATATTTAGTTATATTATCATAAAAAAGAAATAAGAGGTAAAGAAAGAGTTTTTCTGATATGATGGTTAATTAAATAAATAGTAACGATAAGGTTAAAGTAGAATAAAATATTTATCTATTTTAAAAAATAAAAAAATAACAATTAATTTGGTTAAATTTAAAATAAAAAAACTGATAATTATCTTGGACAAAGAGAGTAAAATAGTCTCTTGATGTTGTGATTATTTAATATCACTACTCTTTCTTAAATTTGTAATAGACAAAAGTAAGTTGTGCAAATGTGAAAGTTCTTCAAAAATGGTTTGAGAATTTAGGTATTTTTTCAATGGTATTTGCACGTGCAATTGAATGTTCATGGTTTAGTCTTTTTTTCCATTGTACTCAACAAAATACACTAAAAGGTGGAATAATTTTTCAAACACTTTGAAACCTAGAAACATGAAAGAGGAACACCCACCACATCAATTGTTGAATTTGGTTTATTTTATTTTGACTTTATGGGTGGGCCAAAAAAGGAAAATTTTTGACTTTTATGGATTGAATTGGATAAGCTTTAGGACATGGTAACTTCCCTTTTTTATCGGCCATTAGAACATAATTATTTCAATTTTCAAAGAGGCTGTTCCTTTTTCACACGTTGAAATTGTGGGCTGCAGCGTGGCAGCCGCCAGCCGACAAACCAAAATGGGCTCATAAAAAATATTAAAATACTCTAATTTCGTTTCGGCCCATAAGGATGGCTCAGGAGTCAGGTCCAACCAGTGGAGCTTAGGCCAGAGGCCTTCTCCAACTGACCCAGCCCAAGCTAACATCGTAATAAGGGTCCTGTTATGTTATCATAACGGAAATGCTAACGTCAATATTACGATATCACAGGTCTAATTATAAATAAGTATTTATCTATTATGTAATCTTAGAAGATAAGATAAGAAATAATTATT